ATAAGTTTGAAAATTTGTAAGAAGCAATAAAGAAAAATATACAAAAAACTTTAAATACTTTTACAAAAACATAAAATGAAAAAATAATTCTTCTTTATTCTTCGTCTTCTACTTTTTATTCATATTTTTTCTCATTTCGTTACATTTCTAATTTTCAATTCTCACTATATAATTGGAATACATTCAAATATAATATAAATTTTTGTTATTTGTTTGTAATGAAATAATATGAGATAATAATTAAGATTCCTAAAATTTTATGCCAAAATATGAATCGATAACTTTCCCACCAGAAAATTTACGTAAAAAATATGATTCCAAAATATTTTATCCAAAATACAATTTTGTGAATTTCCCGCCAAAAAGTAAATCCAGAAATTTTTTGCTAAATACTTGAATCGTAAAATTACTGACAAAACATTTATGTCAAAAATATGATTTCAAACTTATTTGTCAAAAATCTTATTTTCCAAAGTTTTTGTCAAAACCTTAAATACTTAAATTTTGTATTAAAATCTTAATGTATAATTTTATTAATAGGTTAAATAATATCATGTCATAAGCCACATATACTTAAATTTGACATGTCAGAATTACGTCATCATTACACGTCATCATTTCTATGTTACATTAAAATTGTTCAAAATAAATATACTAACTAATCAAATTAAAACAATTCAACATTTTTCATTAAACTACATTCTCAATTAATTTATAAAAGATTTTTTATTTTTAATTTTTAATAATTGCAACTAAAATACCTTGTCTAATTTTAGCTTCTATGGCATTAGAACATCTCCAGCGGTGGAGATACTCTTCACCATCTCTTTCATATATAAAATTATATAACATATATATCTAACTAAAATTTAAAATTTAAAAGAAAAAAGTAAAGAGCAAATTATTATGCTGACACCTGCAAGATATATTTTTAAAAATTTTCTAAAAACTGGCTTTTGAGAAACGTATGTAGTTTCTCTCTCTTGCTTTTCTTTTTTTCAATTTTTTATCTTTAATATACCTTCTTAATATCCCTTAATATTTTATGTATAGTAGTTAATTATAAAGTTCAAGTCAATACATAATATTGAAACCTATTGATGAATTAGCCTATCTCTGGGCATTCGGGAATTCGGTTTGGTTCCGAGTAGGAACCGATCGGTTTTGGGTCTTTCGGATAGAGGAGTTTTTTACCCACATAGGTACCGAAATCATTTCGAGTCGGGTTCGGTTCGATACTTATCAGTTCTGGGTAGATTCGGTTCTTAATTCTCAGACCCGTTTAAAATCCAAAATAAATCGATTCTCACGAAAATTCGGTTCGGGTCGGTTTTTTTTACCCGAATGGGACCAAAATACTAAATGCTTACCCGATTACCCGAAATATAAGCATATACCCGAAAAAATAAACTCTAAACACAACATTTTAGCCACCATTTTGATAGAAAAAATACCAATTCAAATTATAAAGAAGAAGAAATAGAGATTCAACAGAGAAAATAGAGTACAAAATGCAACAATTTCCAAGATAGAAGCATCAAAATGAGTCATACTTATGTTCTTATGAAATTGAAAATTTGAAATAGCCGAATGAACCCATCAAGTGCCCTCTTCAGTCTTCAGTCTTCACTCTTCACTGATACTTCCTACAAAAACTGATGCTAAATCTCAGACTCAAATAGATAAAATCAACAAGGACACTTAAGCAACAAACACAACATGGCTATTAGCGAGACAACATACCTCATTGTCAAGGTCCTTGCATGCTTGATTCAGGATCAAACTCTAAAAGAACAATGAAAAACATTAGTTTACAAATTAAAATTGAAAAATCATAATATCATATGAAAAGAGTGTTCGGAAGAAAGAAGTTACCTCTCATAAGGTCATCTTCCAACTCTACTTCCGCTAAAAGTTGTTCAATTGTAATCACACCCTTTTCATTCATATTAATCTCACATTTAAACCACTGCTCAGTGCACATCAACACTTCAACCATGAAGGGTGTCAAACAGCTCCTATACGGGTCTAGTACTCTCCCACTAGTGCTGAATGCCGATTCGGATGCTACTGAGGACACTTGCATTAGAAATATATCCCTAGCTATAAGAGTAAGAACTGAGAACTTGAGACTGTTTCTCCTCCACCAATCTAAGACATCATAATCTGTACCTTTCATAAGCTTGGGGCATCCAACCGGTTCTTTCAAGTACAGCTCTAACTCGTTAACTGATTCTGGAATGCCAGATTCTTCCATATACTCCTCGTATAGACTATCCATCCGTTCATATCCGACACCATTAATCAAAACAATTGTCTGAAATTTTTTACCATTAACTTGATCTTGAGACTGAGAATGTGTAGACGATGTTGCTTGTGACTGAGAACTAGTGTTACCAGACCCACTAGTAGCTGTTGCATCACCATTGTACTCTTCAAACAAACTCTTCAATATATCCTTCACTGATTCAGAGAGAAGATTATACTCGATGCTTTCATGGCCATACAGCTTCTCAAAACAGAGATGAGCAAACTTCATTTTCTTCCTTAGGTCAAAAACACATGCTACTATCAGAAGCTTGTTCATCTCTCGGTTTTGTGAATTGGCGTTCCCACTTGTTTCTTCCCAAAACGGTTTCCAATATTTCTTTAACTTCATCATCATATCAAACGCTTTATACCTTAGCTCTTCATCAGAAGCTGCGTTGTTGCTGATTGCACTGATCATCCTAGTGATGGTGACTATCTCTGAGTAGATTTTATGAGCTGTCGTCGAAGTAGAAGCTGAAAGGCTCAAAGTCGAATTGTAAAATATGATAAAGAACTGAATCAACCTTCAACATCTTCCCAATCAGTTGTAGATGGTGGTCCAGCCCTCTTCTTTCCCTCCACAGTTTCCAAGAAGTAGTCGTTATAAGGTTTATCTTCAGCCTCCATCTTCTCAAATTCCAATCTAAACTTCATAGCTTGATCAAGCATGAGATACGTGGAGTTCCATCTCATCGTCACATCTAAAGGTAAGCTTCCCCTTGACATATTTCCTGTTTCTACACGAAACTCAAAAGACTTGAGTCGAGGTGTTGAAGACCTCACATACTGAATACCATTTCGAACAGCATTGATATTGTCGTCTATCTCCATCAAGCCCTCTTTTACGATCAAGTTTAAAATGTGAGTGGAGCACCTTAAATGCAAATGAGCACCTTTCAGAACCAAAGCATCAACTCCAACTTGACTGAATCCTTCTTTGAACCTCCTCATAGCAGAAATGTTAGCTGTAGCATTATCTACTGTAATGCAGAAAACTCGCCTTATATCCCATTCTTCTAAACAATCAAGAAGAACCTTAGAGATCGTTGCACCTTTATGATCGTAAATATTCTTGAAGCCTATGATGAGTTTCCTTAACTGCCAACTAGCATCAACAAAATGTGCAGTTATAACCATGTAACTAGCTTTAGTATAAGGAGCCACCCAGATATCCGTAGTCAGCGATACTCTCTGCTTGTTCTTCCCAAGAATACTCTTCATAGCTGCTTTTCTTGACATAAACATCTCTACAATATCTCTTGTACATGTTCTCCGAGAATGAGGTTTATACAACTTCACTCTTGAGCAAAAATGTCTCCAAGCCAAGCTCTCTACAAATGCTAATGGCAATTCTGCTTACACTAGCATCTCGTTTGTAGCATCCCTAAACATTCTTTCAGATACCTTACACATGCCTAGATTCCTTTGCTCATCAGGAGTTAACACAGATTACTTCTTAGACTTATTAGCAGCTAGCCATACCTGGTATGATTTGCAGCCCGCTTAAGTGTTTCTTCAGATTGGATGTGCCAGACTTTGTTGGACAGGACATCTCTTTCCCACATAATTACAATTGCATTTGTCATAGTTGTCTTCATGTCTGGTGTAGTGATCCCAAACCCAAGATCTTGTCTTCTTCCTTGATCTGGTACCAGAACCACTAACTTCTGTTTCAGCGTTCCTCTTTCCATTTCCAGCAGTAGGAGTTTTTATTTCAACATCTTCATCTGATAAGTCAACATCATCTTCTTCCATTGGAATCTGATTGTTCGGTGGAGGTGATTCACAAGATGCTATCTGCATCATAATTCACAACGATAAAACAAACACATTAAGCAATGTACATCAAGCAATGAGCATCTGAGAAGTGAGAACTATTGCGGCATCAAAGACCAAATAAACAGAGCATCTACGGTTCTACATTAAGCAATGAGCAATCAAATAATCAAGGTTCAAGCTCAGGTTATACACAAAATTCAAGGATCAAACTCGGGCTATACATAAAATCAACTAATCAAGGATCAATCATAGGTTGTACATAAAATTTAAAGCTCAAACTCGGGTTATACATAAAACTACAAGATACAAAATCGGGTTCAAATTCAAGAATTAAGATCAAAGATCGAGCAAATATTAGTTGAGAATGAAGATTTTCAATCAAGTAATTAACAAAATTCAACCATCATGGACAAAATACGAATGAAGAAAGAAATCAGTTGAGAATTTAAAATTTTCAATCAAGTAATCAACAATCGAAGCCAATGAAGAAATAGAAGACAAGTATGATCGAGATTTGAGAAACACATACCTCCGACTGATTTCTCAATGACACAGACGGTGGCGATGTGACTGAAGCGACTAAGTTAGCTAGGGATTCCAGTTTGTATTTGGAGATTTTTCACACTCCAATATTAGTTTAGGGGAAGCTCAATCGACAAAAGTATCATAAAATACTAAGGTAAGATTAGTAGCCGTTACTGATTTTGGGTACCCGATCAGTTCCAGGTTTGAACCGAATCCGAACCGATATCCCTAATTCTTAAACACAAGATTCGTCGGGTAAATGACACATAACCAAAACTAATCCGAACCGACTATTTCGGGTCGGTTCCATTCCGAGTTTTCGATTCTAATTTTTATGGCCAGAGCTAAATTAGCCCATTGCATTTTTAGCCCAATCCGATATATATATATATATATATTAATATATTATGTGAAAATTCGGTCAAAGGAGCATCTGTATTAGAGAATTTTGTAGAGGTTCTGAAGTGAAAAGAAAAATAAAAAAATAAAAAGAAAATGATGTGGCAAGAAAAAATTGTAGAATCGACTCTGCTCACAGAGAATCGGCTCTGAAAACAGGTGTCTTTACCCGATTCGTGGTAATTTTTATTTTTTGTAAAATCAGTTTCTCTCTTCTCTCTTCTCTCTCTTGGGTCGATCAATATTCTCTCTTCGACTTTATCTAAGAACAATTAACAGCAGCTAAATCGCTAGAGAAAACAATCTATATGGAGATGTTGGAGAGAATTTCGAGCTCGACAAAATCTATAGGGTTGGATCGTATTCAAAGGTTTCATTCTACTCTCCACTCTCTCGTTTTCGAATCGATCTCCAATTTATTACGAATTTTGTTTCTTCTACAATTTGGTTTGATTCATGAAGCAATTCACTCGATTTTCATCACGAATCTGGTTCTTACTGGCTAAATCGATCATTTATTCGATCATAGACCAAAAAATTATCACCAAAGAGAATAAAACAGCTTATGTCAAATTGGAGAGGATTACCACTCGTAATAGTATTATTGTTTCAGATTATGTATAAACTAAGAACAAAACCGTAAACTGGTTTATAATTTGCAGGTATATTATCTACTCTTGCTTTCTCTCCAACCAATTCTGGAATGTTGGCTGTGGGCTCTTACGGGCAGAGTCCTGGGATATATTGAGAAGACAACATGGAGCTATTGTATGTCTTACATGGCGAAGGCGGCGTTACACATGTAAGTCATCAATCTTTTGCTTTCAGGTCTAGTTTTCAAAGGATGGGAACTATTTATATACAAAAGGTCGCAAGGTATCATGTTGTTTATAAACTTGTTTCCCTCTGATTGTTGTCTTGAGCCTATTTATCCCAACTTAATTTGAAGAATATTAAAGTATGATACTAAATATGAATCATGTTTGCAGTAATCTTACCAAAACATGTTTTTCTTTTGTGTCTGCTCTCTTCAGGATCCTTCAATTTTCTTTTGGTTTGGTTTGGGCTGTCTTTGGGTTTCTAGGCTTATATGGTGGTTGTCCAGGAAACAAGAACAAGGCTAGAGACAATATGAATGCTTAGTGAGCCATGATCAGCGAAGAAATTAAGGATACATAAACGTTCAAGTTACTAAAAGTCTTAGCTAGTTGAACTTCAGATTTGATTCTTGCTTTTCAAATATTGAGTTTGTTTACTAGTTTTTCAGTTACTTTTTAAGTCCAAATGAAATGTGTTGAATGAATCTTCTATATGTGACCAGATTGTACAGAGCAACGGAGAAGACAAACCGACATGTATTCTTTGATATTGAGCCAAGTGGTCGGCATCTAGGCACCGGTGGTCAGGTACTAATCTTCCTGCGGTTTCTCAAAGGCGGGCTTTTGTTTTGAAAACTCAAGTCAATTTATAGTGAAATTGTGTTATTATCACGTACTCACCGTAGCAATGAAACAAGTGTTGATACACAAAGTAAGTCTTGTATTTTTTTCGCTGGAACTTGTTATGGATCGTGCCATTAGCTGCATGAAGTTCTTGATTTTCTGGTTTTCAAATAAATGTTTGAAATACTCAGATTGAGAAGCAAAAAATATTGCTTAAAGATATTTATTAATAATATTTTGATTTTTTTTTCATTTTCAGTAAATTTAAAAGAATTTGTAAAAAAAAAATTTATTTAAGAACTCCATAAAATCTCTCTAATGTAAGTCTTAAAATTACAAAAAACTTAATAAAGTTCTTAACTTAAATTAATAATATATTTAATAATAAAATATATTAAGAATCTCCAAGTGAAGTTTACCATTGTGGATGCTCTCCACTAGGTAACAACCACGCTCTCCTTGAGGACCTAAAAGATCCTTAGCAACCATGAAAGTAGAGCAGCCACCGCCGCAGAAAAGGAGGAGGAAGAAGAAGAAGAATACTAAAACAACAAGTACTCCTCCTCCTCCTCCTCCTCCTCCGTCGTTTACATCACTTCCAGATGAAATCATTGTGAATTGTTTAGCTCGCATCTCCAGGACTCACTACCGTTTTCTCTCCTTAGTCTCCAAGGCCATCCGCTCTCTCCTCTCTTCCCCTGAGCTCTGTTCGCTCGGAGATCGGAAACACAGAGCCTTGCCTCTACATCTGCCCAGAGTTACCCACTACTTATGATCGGTGGCGCACTCTTGATCAAACAATACTTACCGATGGGCGGATTCGGAATGTGTTTAGCTTATCACGTATCACGAGACCAACTTCTTGTGCTCCTCCTCCACCAAAGAAGCCAACAACTTTAGCCGTCGGTTTCGAAATCTACCAAATGGGCGGATCCAACAACGACGACAAGCGGCCTTCCTCGGCCGTTCGTGTGCTCGATTGTCGGACTCACACGTGGCGTGACGCTCCTGATATGACGGTACCAAGGAAAAGCGCCAAGTCTGCTTTTATAGACGGAAAGATATATGTAGTTGGAGGAGCAGAGGGATCCAAGAATTGTGCTGAGGTTTTGACCTAAAGTCTCAAACTTGGAAGCTATTGCCTAGCCTTAGTGATGATGACGCTAAGGTTGGGTTTCGCAGAAGAAAGATATACGATCCCATGCAAAGAAGATGGAAGGAACTTGTAGAGTTGTGTTTTGGTCCAGGAGATACGAGCGAACCTTGGTGCGTTATAGAAAACGTAAAGTTTAGTAACTTTCGGGGTAAGCTTGAGTGGTATGACACAGAGCGTAGAAACTGGATCGATGTTGAGGGTTTGAAATATAAGGATGGTAGAACAATCCATTTAGCTAACCATGGTGGAAAACTCGTACATCTAAGGAAGGAGCCAGGGACGACATGGTCATTGGTTCCGGGGGAGAGGAGGAGGAGAAGGGCAGACGAATCTCCAGTGCCGTTGAAGAGACGAAAATACCTACACCAAAGGATTCAGTGTGAGTTGATTAAGCTGGAGAAGCGCATGGGCTCTTCTGGATTAGAGATTTGGGGGACGATTGTATGGTCGAAAGCTGTGCTTTCATTCCCCAATTCATATGAATTTTTAAGCTGTATCATCACCCTTTGATTCATTTGCTTTCATTTTATCATTTGTTTTCACCAGACAAGTTCTGAAACTTTCATCTTTGTATTCATTTTATATGCTTAAGCACAGCAGTTGATTTTACATGGATGGTCAGCGTTTCATAGTGGATTTGTATATGTCATAAGACTCGTATTGATCATTGAGTAGATAGGCCTTACATGCGTTTTTATTCATTAAGTTCATGGAAATTTTCTTCAGTTACGTACCAATTCAATCAGCTACATTAATGGTCCAAGGCTTTCTTGATAAAAAAAAAGCAAATTAGGTTCCAATGACTAGATGAAGACTACTTTAAAAGTAGACTTGAGTCGCAAGGATAACTAATGGTTATAATACAACATAAAACGAAACGGTAGAATTAAACCACACATGATAAGAGTCAAGAAGGTACATCCGTACATGTTTTACGTACACACACAGTAATTGTATTATTGTTTCTGTTGCACCTAGAGAAGAACTCATACTCATATTTCTGAGTCATTTCTTTGCTCTGTGAAAGTCTGAGAGGCTGAAAATTTTGAAATGAACAATTAATGATGGGTGCCGCAGAAAGATAATAAAAAAAAATGTATAGACCTTCGAGAGCTTTCTCAACAAACTATGCTCTCATTATACTCCATCATGCATAAGATCTCTCTCTCTCTCTTAAATAATTCTTCATTTTTTATGTTTTTGTGTTAAATGTTTCTAAATCAATTATCTTCAACATTCAACATTTTTTTCTTCTTTCTTTGTCTCCTCCTCTTCTTCTGTTATACTCCCTACATATAATTCATGGTTGTCATTGTTTTTACATCTCTAATGTTAAAGACAATATTCACATACTAATTACTAACCTCTATGGAAACACAAGCACTTAGTTATGATGCAAAAGTAATGTCTTCTTTGCATAATTCAAAACTTTATCTGGAAGAATAAAAAAAGACATTTACCTATATAGTTCAATAAACCCTAAAAATATTGTGAATTATAAACATTGTTGCAGATTTTGTGGAGAATAACACCCTAACTTGCACGTGACCAACAGACCAATTCAAACAATTTGCTTCAAGAATTCATTGTGTTGTGAGATAGAATGACAATACCATAATTATTCAATTTAATATTGTAATTATCAATAGCAACAGTGACAGATCAATGATTGTGCTATGTGCGCTTTAAACGATGTAATGCAAAGTAACTATATGGTCCATATCTTCACTTATGCAAATCTCAACTCATGTACGGCACATGAGATTTTTAGTGTTGTTACTGATCTCATATAAATTGCATAAGCTTTACTATTAACATCTAACTGAAACCACAAAACAAATTTAGTGCCTAGAGCGAGGAGATTGACCATAGATTCAAAAAAAGGAACATCATCTAATGGAAAAATGCATAAAAATGAAATAAAATGATAAATGTCTATGTATGATTAAAACCGTAAGAAGGAACTTAGCAACATAAGCCTTATGTTAAGTTTGTAACCCCAATATTCTCTTTGATTATACTTAACGCAGATCTGAATGAAAAGGAGAAACAAAGGAGTCTTGATTGCTTGAGTTTAGATCAAAGCCATAAAAATTCATCATCTGAAGAAGACGAGCCATATGCTTCTGTTGCAGGAGAAGAGGAATATTCATCATCTGAAGGAGACGAGCAGTATGCTTCTATTGCAAGAGAAGATGAATGTGCTTCTATTGCAGGAGACAAGGAATATTCTTCTTCCGGAGGAGCAGTAAACCATCTCATTGCCAAGGAACAAGGCACAGTAGATGACAAACTAAGATTCTGAGAGATGACGCTGATCATGCACTTTGGTGAAGCTATTCCATCAATCTTCTGAAGCTTCTTGGATAAATCAAACACAGCAGGGTCATATGACGTATTGTAGTATACTATCAACTGTTCAAGACACGGCATTGTCTTCAAGAAATGCTTCATCTGCTCTATTTCCCTCGGGTCCTCCTCATCGTAGTTTTCAGACATTATTACTTTTAGCACCTTCACCGGAGAAGATGAGATGCAAGAAGGATGCTTCAGACGTTTACAGCAGCACAAGTCCCCACATCCATTGTTACGTTTGTGGAGAAGACCCTGAATAAGCATAAGGGAAAGGTTTCATACTTGGATTTGTTTTCAGGTGACTGCATAAACAAAAATGCATTCAATGGGGTCTTTTGTAATACCTTAAAAACAAGGGTTTCTAGATTCGGACAATTCATGAGCAGACCGTGCAGTATGTCCCATCCAATCTCCGAGTTACTCTCGATCGTCAGTTGAATCAGGTTGTTGAATACTGGCGTTTCTTTACAGCAAAAAGTAAGTACCTGAAACAACAACAACAACAACAACAACAAATCAACTCCACTTGTGAAGCCATTATTAACCAATGTTTACACTAACTGAAACAAGGATACTAGAATTCAAGGTTCTTAATCTTTCAAAGTATCAATAGAAAAATTAGGACAGAGATGGGATCGACATACAAACCTCGAGAGTTTTGGCAGATAAATAGAGGATCCGAACATTGCATATCCCCTTAAAAAAATAAGTTGCATTACCGACCATAGCTCTCTCCTCGTTAACTTCCGGTGAATAACCTTCTTCATCTGAAAAAATGTTTGCACTTGCACTCTGATCTTCTGAGAGTCGAAGGCCGATATGAGCTTCAACAAGCGAGCTGAAAATCACTTTAGGATACATGCCCGCAATACTGTCGGAATATTCCAAGTACTCAAGGTTTGGAGTATCAAACGAGACGCTCTGTGGATTCTCATCAGTGTCCTCACAGAAAAAGGTTAGCCTCTTCAGTGTTTTGACATACACAGAGCAAAACCTCCAATTAGCCCACCCGATATTCATCATAAATAGTTCCTCAAGCACGGGACAGCCAGCAAGAAGCTTTATAAACCCAAAACCTCTCTCTTGAAACACAACAGAATCAATGTCGAGAGTCTTAAGATTTGGAAGAAACACATCCTTCGCATCAACGCTGAAACTGAGATCCTCTGTCGGTCCTAGTCTCAGCCTAACCAGTGTCTTGCTAGCAAAGATCCTGGGAGGCAAGGGACATTCCGAGAGGCTTAGGTCAAGTTCTGAAACACCGCGTCCCAACACATTGTGTATCCAACCAGTGACAAGAACTGGATCAGGATAGCATTCAATACAGTTTAGAGAGAATCTCCTTAATAGAGCATTCCCTTGCAAAGCCAATACTCTATCCACAAATTTCAAAAAACTTGTACAAGCCTCATCACCATCATCTTCGAATACAAAATCAAGATTCGTTACAGACGCAAACAAAAAACGCCACCTTTTAGAGAAAATCGATGTGGAAGCTGCTTCCTTTGTCGGAAGGAAAGACAAGATGTGAGAAATCAGAGGATCTGGAAGACCACTGATTATATCTCTTGGGACCAAATCCATCTTTTTTTGCCCAACAGAAGATCAACACTTACAACCTAAACAATTACAACAAGAATGCGAGTTTCAGAACGGTAAAGGTTCCCCTAAGAATTATAAACAGAGACGACAATAATCAAAAGAATAAATGAAGAAACTGACTTTGGACCCATCAAGCTATCGAGTATTCACAACTTCCGAACAACTGGATTCGGCTTTGTGGTGGGGCGAAGCGTGAAAATGAAAATTAGGGTTTTTGTTTTATCGTTGCCGCAAGTGAGAGAGAGATAAGCAATGTGGCGGGATAGGTGACTTCCAATGCTAAACGACAACGTATGGGTGTTGATTTAATTTCGGTTCTTATATCTATTATACTATAAGAGAATTTATTTTAGAAAACTAACCTTTATTTCATGTGTTATTTATTTAATATGTCATTAGACTTTTATTAGTTATATAAAAATTTATTAAATTTATTATTTTCATTAAATTATCAAAGACTTAAATTTTTGTTACCTTTTTCATTATGGACCTAATATTTTGTTATCATTCTTATTAAAAGGCCCATTTTGTTTAAAATTTTTGAACTATCTTATTTTCTTTATTTTTAATCCGAAATTTATAAAAATATATATAGAAAATGATAAAACAAAATTAAAAATAATATTTTATAGTCTAAATTTTATTCTATCGAAAAACTTTATATTATATTAGATCAACAATTATTTATATAATATTAATTATTTAATATAAGAAATTTTAATTTTAATTTGTTTTGCTAAATTTGAAAAAAATAAAATAAAGAATAAAATGAGAAAAGAAAAAAATTTGAAAAAGGAGAAGAAATTGAGAAAAAAAAATATAGTAAAATTGAAATTAAAAAACAAACAAAACGAATAAGCACAAAAAATTACAAAAAAAAACGAAAAAGGAAAATGAGGAAAAAAAAAGAATAAAAAAAATAATAGAAAAGAAAAAGAGAAAAAGCCAAAAAATAAAATCATTAAAAATAGGAAAAAATGAAGAATGAAAAAGAATAACGTACAAAAAGAATTTTTAAAAAAAAAAATGAAGAAGAAAAAAAGAAAAAGAACATTAATAAAAATTTAGAAAAAGACGAAGAACAACAACAAAAAAAAAATAATAAATAAGATAAAGAAAAAAAAGAATATTAATATATTATTTTTTTATTAAAAATCAAACACACTTTTATAATATAATTATTTGCCTAAAAAACATAAATACGATTAACAAAAAGATAATTAATCATTTGTAAATTAACTATTTTAATTACAAGGTTGTAGAATAATAAAATTATATTTATAAAACTAACATTTTAAAATTAAATTAAAAAAAAAATTACATGCCGCGCATGTTAGATCCTAATATTTCATTAAATGATCTAGCTCGCCCTAAACTTGTAGCCAAATAGCCAATACACATTTATGGTTTCCAAGATGGTAAAGGAGGCGTAAGAGAGATTCAAAAGGAAGCTAAGAGAGCAAAGCACCAAATAACAGAACAGAGACTAACCTACTTGCATGTCGTTGCTATTTAAGCCAAAGCTAACAACCAAAGCTTTGCTAAAATTCTCCGAGATGGCAGAGTACAATCTTCAGACCGGGAATGTGTTTTTAAAGAAGAGTAATCCACTTGTCGATGAGGAAGAGTGCACAGTAGTTGAGAAGCTAATGTTATCAGAGATTACTTGAATTTTGCATTTGGTTGAGGCTACTTTTTCAAGCATCTGAAGTGCAGTTGACACTGTACTCACGTCATCATCAAATGGAGTATCATAGTGTAATATCACTTGTTCAAGATTTGGCATTGTCTCCAGCAAGTACTTTATCACCTTCATCTGCCTATCCATGTCATCGTCGCAATTAGAAATTTCTCCAAACTTGAATACCTTTAGCATCTTCACCGGGCTTGATGATAGGCAAGTAAGAGTGCCTTCCCAAGGTTTGCACATGCATCTGTCCCCATACATGTCCCAACAACTGTTTGTATCTTTGAAATGGTATCTCTCATCTTCACATTGATCTGTATCTTTGTAATGGAGTCCATGAAGTATAGTAAAGAACTGGTTTTTTTAAGTGTGTTTGAAAAAACAAATGCGTCAGCTGATGAGTAGGCAAAGTATGTGTTCGTACTTGGAAGACAAGGGTTTCAAGATTTGGACAATTCTTGAGTAAATTGGGCAATGCTTCCCATCCTAATTTTTGGTCAGTCTCGATTGTCAAATGAATCAGGTTATCGAAGACCGGTATTGCTTTGCAGCAGATAGTAAGTACCTTAAACAAAAAAAAAAGACCAAAATTACTCATTTACGATTGTTTAACTCAAACATATATCCTTAAGCAATATTTTAAACTTAACATACCTCAAGGGTCTTGGCAGATAAGTCAAGGATCTGAACATTGCGTATTCCCATAAAGAAATATGTTGCATCAGCTGAATCTCCGTCTGGCTATTCTGATAAAGTGTCGTTCGAAGATCGACTCTAGCTTCAACTAGAGAATCAAAAATTGCTTTAGGATACTTGACCGCAACAGTATCAGTAAAGTCTAGGAAGACAAGATTTGGAGTATGGAATGATACACTCTCTGGATTCATCTCAATGTAATCACAGAAAATTGTTAGTCTCTTGAGGCTTGGGCTAGAAATAGAGCAAGATCCCCAAAAATCCCATATCACTTCAGTCATAACCAACTCCTCAAGGACATGACAACCAGAGATTAGCTTGGAAAATGCAGAACCGGTCTCTTTGAGTGCAACATCATCAAGATACAAAGTCTTGAGCTTTGGAAGAAAAAAACCTCCCACATCAGTGTTGAGGTAATCTATACCTTCTACTCTCAGCCTAACCAATGTCTTGCTCATCAAAACCTTAGAAAGCAGAAGATAATCATAATCCGGAGAGACGTATAGATCAAGATCTACTACACCACGCTCCAGCACATTGGATATCCAACCATTGACACGAGATGGATCACAACCATTTTCACATCTTAGAGAGAATTTGTTTACCGAAGCATTCCTTTGCAAAGCCATTACTCTATCGACAAAAGCATTGAAACTTTGGTGCAAATGTAGCCCTTTTCATCTACTCAATTCAGGATGGTCATAGATGGAGTCGTCAAAATCCAAATTTGGTACAAAAGCCAGCAGAAGCCTCCACCTTTTCGACAGAACTGAAGTCAGAGCAGCATCTTTTGTGGAGAGGAAGGACAAAATGTGACAAACAAGAGCGTCTGATAGACTGCTGATTAAGTCTTTGGAACCAATATCCATCTTTTTTCCAACAGAAGATCAACAACACACTTGGAAGCTACAACCTAAAAGACAGGAGTTCGAGTAAGTGGTTAGAACTATTGGATCTTCAGAACTCATCTCAAAATACGACATTCTTAAATTGCAAAACAGTTCCAAGGTCTTGTCTTTTTACTTTATCGTAATTCGTAAGGTTCCGTTGAGATTCCCAACCGATAAAAAAGAAATCACATAAAGCTATGAATACACAAAAGCAAATTACAATAATCAAGACAAGAAATGGGGAAACTTACTTGGTGCCCATCAAAATCACCCAATGATCGGATTCAGAGGTTTATTTGTGGAAAAATGAAAACTAGGGTTCTTATCAGTCATGGTCGACACTCGACAGTGAAGCAGAGCAATGTGGTGGTGAGTTCCAAATTTCAATGCTAGATTTGTAAGTGTTATACCAAAAGCCACTTTAATTTTAAGAGTTATACCAAAAGCCAGTTTTAATTTACTCCTTATAAAATTTAAATAAGAATAAAAAATATATTTTTATCCTTATTTATATTTCATTTTTATTCATTCATTTTATTTTTTTATTTTGTTCTAATCGTTATTTTCTTTTTCATTCATATTCTTTTTTATTGATCACCAGTTAAAACCTAAGCTTGTCCCTAAAACTTAAAGTCTGAAAACTGACAACAAACCTTCTTTCTAAGAACCCAAGTGTTATGTTTTGAATCGAGACCTTGCCACTTAACAAGAACTCCAAACTACCATTGTCAACGTATCAAGTCTCCACAACATCTTCAGAGGCGATAACAATCATTTGTTCGCTACGACATAAATCTAGCAAATAGGTCACCTGATGATCCTTTCCCAACACAACTTTCAACTGAGACACATGAAAGACTGGATGGATTCGTGCCTCTGCAGGGAGCTTCAAGCAATATGCGGCTTAACCAATACATTCCAAGACTTTATATGACATGTACTACTTGGCAGCTAGCTTCTGACAAATGCGTGACAGATTGTTGGCGATAAGGTGAAGTTTGAGAAACATCATCGAGCCCACTGCAAACTCCAAGTCTTGACAATGCTTAATTGCGTTATTCTTCATCAACTGTTGAGCATGAATCAAATGCTCCTTTATCTGCCCCAACATCTGATCTCTTTCCAACAGCATAGACTCCAAATCAATATTTTCTGTAAAATCTTGCTCAAAACGCAAGATACTTGGTGAATCCCGACCATAAAGCTCACGAAAGGGAGTTGTTTTCAATGCAGTATGGTAGGAATTGTTGTACCAAAGCTCAGCCCACATAAGGAACTTGGACCAAGTGCGAGGGTGACCTGATGCAAAGCATCTAAGAAAAGTTTCTAGGCAATGGCTAAGGACCTCTGTTTGACCGTCTTGGGGATGAAAGGCGGTGCTGAATTTTTAGTACCTGCCATACGAAACTATCAAACTCAGAAAGCAATGGAGACGTATGACTTCCGAGATAAACTTCTTTACTACATCACTCACTTGAAACAGATACCTCAAACCACTCTTGCTCAATCTCTCAACGACCACAAAGATCACATTGATGCCACCATAAGCGAACAAGAAGATTATCGAAAATAGATTGTAAAGAGAATGGCTGCAGCCTACAGGTATATACCATTTATACTATTACTAACGTTAAGACATTGAGCATTATAGCTTACCAGATTTCATAGAATATACAATATATTTGCCGCTTTCAAAAGAAATTACACTGGAGATTCACTTTTTGGTTTCGTATATAATCATCTTTCTTTATTTACTTGTGTAATTGTCTAGATCTTAAGTGGCTATTTGAAGCAGCAAAGCAAGAGCATCCATGACTTTCACCAATGTTAGTGTCTCTTGAATCGACCATCCACGCCTCCCCCCTGCCTCCTTAAGATGACTATTCTAAAAAACTTTTTAGATAATCAATTAAGTATACAAAACAGTCTATCAGGTTATACAACCTTAATTTTCATAGTAAACCAGGTTTTAAATTCAAAAGCGTATATATAAAAATACACATGACTAACTTTATACTTTCTTATCTTTATTGTAACAGCCTAAAGATTATCGTTACCCTTTTATAAGCATGTCAAAATTTTGTTTGTAGTCAAAGAATCACAGTTACTCGCTACATATTTCCCAGTGAGTTCTTGGTTGCATTCATCCTGTTTCTGAAGACAATTATCTTCACCACCGTTGTTACAGACCTGACCACTTGCCATCAAAATGGTTTGTCACATGTCTGCATTCATGTTTCTCATTGACATCAATCTTCAACTCCATACAAAAAGGTTTTATGGAATGTAAAAAAGTCTGATGCTTCTATACATTTGCAGGTTTTATAAGCTTGTCAAGATCTTATTGCCCATAAAAAGAGCTGGCTAAAAGGGCAATGAAAGTCATACTTCGAACATCACAAATAAAACTTAAAAGCCTTCATGATTAATATTCCTTTGTGAAGCCACTGTTACCAAACTGAGGAAAATCTGCAAAAGGTGGGTTTGGTAAAATGTTCTGGTTGATTATAAGTATCCAGAAGCAAAATGAAGGACCATTGTTTGGGTACATCAGGATACAGAGAAAGACACTAGAGATTATTAATCTCGATCTTCGGGATCAGCATCAAACAAAAGGCTGGTAGCAGAGGTTAGCAAATATATTTGTTACAAACTTGATCTCTTTCCTAACTCAATCTCATAAATCATAAATGCTAGTATGCTACTAGTGGATTCTCAATATATGCAAAAATAACATTTTTAATTAATGAGTTATATCATGTAATAACTCAAGTCCGATCTATAAAAAGAACAAGAATCAGTGGATATTAAGAGAGATATTTATTGAAGATAACGTCAGAGCTTGGATGATACACGGAGGTTAGGTCGTCAGAATAAGAACACCGGCATAAACTATAAATGAAAAAAAGCTCGAGAACTAAGAATAATAGATTGCTAGTTTGCCTTAGGTCTTGAGAGAAGAATTTTGAATGCCTTTGAGAGGTCAAAGGCTTCTATATTTATACCCGATCAGGTCGGTCTTCCAGGAATAAACTCGTCTATCCGGAATAGGAAAACTTCCTTGCCAATAAGGCCTATCTTCCATCTTTTCTGGATTTTGTTCGATAAATAGAAGATTTCTATTTAGGATTTCCAAAATAGGTCAATCTCAATTAATGTCGAGCTTTTAGAGATGGTACGAATCTCATCTCTAACATATCCCAAGAAGTGAAAATATATAATAGCTTTGTAATGTATCTTGGGTGGAAATTTATTTTTTCCAATTCTAATACGATTAAAGTTTTGTTAATTTATTTCTGTGAATATTGGCAATAGAGTAAAAACACAATCACAATGCAATAGTTGTGATTCTGGCTCTGCCCCAAAAGAAACCGAGGACAATAGGAGAAGAGATACAAGTGACATGGATTTAGAGTTCGTTTTTATGAACTCTGTTGATGAAAGGTCTATGCATTTTAAAAAAAAAACGATGAATGATAGACCATATATACAGAAAGATAGCTGGAAAAACATGTTAAAAGAGAGTGGAAACATTTTCTTCTCTTTATTTTATTGTGAAAATATTATTTTATTTTTGGTTATTGATGACTACACGTCTTACATTTATATTGTTTGCTATTATTAAGTTAGTATTAATTTTTTTTTACTATATTTTAAAATAAGAAAGACATTACATCCCTAAATTTAAGAGAGAAACAATTAGAAGCATGAATAAGTTACTGTTACCTCTTTCCTCTTTCACTGACAGACCTACATTTAGCTCCATTAATGCAAGGAAAGAAGATTACAGCAAATAGGTAACAATAACCAAACAAAGAGTATGTTATAACAAAACCATTTTAACTGCCCTTTTAAAACTAATTTCTAGGCATTTTAGGAGACCAAGTTTGTCTTCATCTCACTCATGTTATTGTCCCTTAACTATTAAAAATAATAAGTTAAAGAGATTTTGTATTTTTTTCAAATGAATGTAAGATAAATAACAAATAACAAATAACAAATAACAAAGTTTATAAAAAAAACAATTTCTGATAAATTACCAATAATAGTACTGTCGCAAAGAATTCTCCAAGCAGCTACAAATTGAAGAAATGAGCATAAAAGGTCACTCGAAATTGCTTAAACATAAATATTTTTATTTAATAGATTATCTTTTCAAAATTTAGTAACATGTGAATACAAAAACAAGTTTTAACTTTTATATGATTTAAAATACTATCCTCGAAACAACCTTTAGTCATCTATACTAAATGAAAGCAATTTTTGGGGTTCAAGAAGCCATCTATATCAGTATTTTAAACTTTCACCACAATTTGCCACATCAGCTTATGTTCTTCTTAATCTTTGTTCCTTTATTCCTCTTTGAACTAATTATCTATACTAAATGAAAGAGATTGTTTGGAGTTCTTTAGACTAGCCACATCAGCAAACTAAAACTTTTTCAAATGATGCCACATCAACATTTTTATTTTTCTCATAAAAAATAACTTATTCTTAAATATATCTAAAATAATATTTTTACTTTTTAAAAAAACAATATTTAATCTCAATTTGGGACACTTTTAAATACATCTCTTTTCCTACTACTCACACGAAACGCTTAACTTCAAAACAGTGCATAAATTTTAAATCATAAACTCATTGTCTCCCACATGGCCACAATCTCTTCGGTTTCAAGCTCCTCTCATCTCTCAATCTCTCATTTCTAGCATCCATCAAATAACTTAATTGTAGATTGATTCAGTTTCATTATTCTCATTTCAGTTCTAAATAGGATGTTCACATCCAAAATCTACCAAGATGGCGACATCCAGTGGATCATTTGTAAGATGTCGCTTTTCTCCTTCTTCTTTTTCTCTTCAATTTACAAGTTCTATCTGCGTCTAACCCATGTGCCATGTATTCAATTGCTGTTTTTTTCTCCTTGCAAGATGATGAACATAAGTGATGTAAGCATCAAGTCATATACAACTGAACCAGTCAAGAGATGGAGCATTGGAGCTAAACCAGATGATGCTAAGCTTGTAGCTGAGGAGCTTGGAGGCTTTGTAGCTGTGTTTGAAGAAGCTGAGGAGTATATATCAAAACACCACCATTCTGATCATCAAAAGGAGCCTTCTAAATCATCCCTGGTTCAATACAAGTCGTCACTTAACCAAAGAGAACTACCAAATTGCCTTAAACCACCAAATGGAGCCACATTGGAGCTAACTAAGGAAAGAAGGGATTTCATGACATTATATTCACATCACCACTTCATTCAACCACCAAAGAGTATTTCAAGATATTCAGGATTACTAAACCACGCCAATAACCAGCAGAAACCGTCCCAAATCCAAGAAGAAACCAAGAAGAAGCTACTTG